GACATAAGTCGTGCGGTTGTTGTGCCCAGGTTCACATGAAATATCGCCTGCGTGCAGAGACGCTCTTCTTGGCGCTGGCCTTGTCCTTCGTAGACTTGCAAGCCGGAGATATATTCGTCGACCTGATGTTGCAGCACATCTTGCTTAAGGCCGTGAACCTCATCGACCGACACATGACTGCTTTGCCTGTGCTGAGGAGGCCTTTCGAGTGACGGGAAGCTGAGCTTGCTTTCTCTGTACAGCAGCTTCGCACCTTGACAATGCGGGCAGTGGGCAACCCAAGCCTTGCAACGAGCACGAGCCAACATCCTGAACTAGACACATGGATGTCATCTTTCGACTCGAAGGTTTGGATTGCTGCGGGAATGTGCCGTCGAGGTAACACGTTTGCCTTTCGGGTGTGCGCCCCTTCAGGCGCTTACAGTTGGTGGGTGTTACGGCCATGTTCGTGGCGGCCAAGTTTGAGGAAATTGACCCGCCGCGTGCCACGGACTTCGTTTACATAACAGACAACACCTACTCCAAGGCACGGGTAGAGCCGCCGCATGAACATTCATAGATCCGGAAAAGGGCCGGCAGCACCAAGACACGTCGTTGTTGTTTGTTGTTGTACATGGGAAGGATGACCTCTTGCAAATGGAGTGCACAATGCTTTCAGCGGGGGCCTCGGCCAGCACAAGCGGCAGGCAACAAGCCCGAGGGGAACACCACACCTAGGCCCTAGACTTTCGAGTGGTGGTGCCAACGCCTGCCCACTTCTTCGACCAGTTCGTCAAGGCATGCCACCGCGGCTTTTCCTCTCCTCCACGTCCTCGTGTCCTTCAGGAACCCATCGTCGTCGCCATCATCACTATAATCATCGTTGTCACTACGGTACTCGTGCCTCGCAGCTTGGCCCTACTCAGGCCAACAGCGAGAACGCTCTTATCACTGAGACGGTCAAGTATATCCTCGAGCTTGTGCTGCCCTGTGTAAAACCGCGTGCCCGTTCCAGCTCCAAACCTAGTTCTATTCCTTCTCAGAGCCCGAGGCACTCATCGATCTACGGATGATCCGGTATCCGCGTGGAGCTTGACTTGCAACGGCTCGAGACTTGGCAGACGCTTGAATCGAACCGACGTCTGCGTCCAGGCCTTCCCACCTGCTCGCAGCAGCGATCTTGCTTAGCAACGACCTCTTCGGCAGGGCAGCTCTGTGGCCAGATGTGATGGTGCCGACACGATTTGCACATGGGGAGTTTGGACTTAGCATGTGCGATCTTGTCTCTGTTTCGAGCTTCTCGCCTTGCGCAGGTGCAGACGTGCAGACACACAGAGGAGGAGCTGCGACCCTGCGCAGAGGCGAGGGACCCAAGTGCTTGTTGTACTTTCGTCAGCAGCGTCCTTCGGACTTCGGCAGGAGCTGCGGTCGCTGCTGCGAGCCGCCCCAGCAGGTTCGCTGCAGGCAGGGGCCGCGTGTCTCCCGCTGTGCCGAGTCTTGCACAGCAATCGCGAGGCCGTGCGGAAAAAGTACATGCTGCAGACACATCAGCGTATTGCTAGCCATGCAGTGCTGGCTGGTGCTTAAGGCGGAAGTTCTTGTGCTCCTTGCGATAGCTGTTAGCTTCTGCGGCTTTGCTTTGAAGACTTCGGGCAAGCTACGTGATCCTGCGAGGCTGCCTGCAACCGAAAATGTCTCGTTTTTTTATGTACCTCGGGCAGCCCCTGCTGCCCATGCAATTATTTAGTGCACAAGCAATCAAAGCGGTGCACTTGCAATGCTCGAACAATTAGGAGGTCCACATCACGATGCTGCCTGCGTACTGCACGCAGCGTCCTGGCAAGGCCCTACAACATCTCCGTGAATTTAACATATGTTTCTCGCGCAGTCAGTTGCGATTCGTGGCCTTGCAAAGAATTCATTGGGCCCAGATGGAATTCATAGAACATGCAACGCGCGGAAAAGATAGCCCTCTGGTGTTGGCCTGTGCGTCCTGCTCTAGGAAGTGCTGCAGCTGGTTATTTCCAGAATGCCGTCTGACTGGACTTGAGTGGCCACTGCCTGCCTGCATGTCTTTACACCAGGCACCGTCAACTGTGTCACTTTGCCTGCAGGCTGCTTCTCAAACGTGTACCACCTGCACATTCAAGAGCAACCACGGTGACGTCTTCGATTCTGGCAATACTGGGTTTATGCCAGTGACGCAAGCAAGTACAACGAACTTGGGCTGCGGCCACTTGAAGACCGCTCACGCTGCTTCCTTTCACGGCGGCCCAATACCACGCAGTTGTTGGAGATGCCGAAAGCAAAGACCTCCCCTCGGCTCGTCTCCGGATGCGTTACAACGGCCGTTAGGGAAGAACAGCAGAAAGTCTGACATCGTCAGATGACAAGCAAAGGAGCGAAGATACCAGCAGTCCAGCAGTGACCATTGTCGTCATGCGGTGCCTAGGGTACCATAGCCATGCGGAAACCGCACGTGAATAGTCGTGAGACAAGTTCAACAACTTACAGACTTGCAGGGTTTGGGGACGGTCCAGTAGCAGACTGTCCAACACGGACAGCGCGATGCTGCTTGGCGGCGGCCCTGCCTCCCGAGGTGCATAGTGCCACGCAGCACGGCACCGATAGTTTGCAGACGCGATGTTGCTGTAAACAGCTTGTCTGGCTGGAGTGTCCCATGGCGTGCATGCTTAGCAGTGAGCTTCACTCTAGTCCTATAGTCTACAGCATGCAACCCGATGTTGCAGATTTTGTTCACAACGGCATGCATTCAAAATACAACCGTGCAAGTAGCATGGTCCGCTAAACCAGCGGAGTCATGCCTCGGTCGCATTGAGCTGACTTAGAGCCACTCCAGGCATGCATCCATGGCGGCAGTCCGCGCTTTTGCACTGTCGTGGCTCCTGTTGCGTGTCGATTTGAGCAGGTGATGTAGGCAAATGAACGAAATCGTTTGTTCGTAGTGGTTGTATCTGTGTACCCTGAAGGTCGCAGAGAGACCGTGAGGCATGGCTACCAGAGACGCAGCTTGAACGGGAAGGCCGTGAGTCGTGCATGAGGCGCTTCAGAAGCACGGACTTCTCGCAGCAAGGGTTCCAATCCGAATGGCTCAATCCATACAACAGATCCGCAGCTAGGTCGCTTCAAGAACTCTCCGAGCTTTAGGTTGCGTTGTTTGTAAAGTGAGTGAACTATAGACTGTGGCACTGCGCCCATCTGCACCCCAGGCTTTCATCGACTGTCTCTACAAGTTGCGGACACGGTGGCGACCGAGAGAGAAATCCGTCCATGCAGGAGGCATCCACTACCCAACTTTGATAACAGCTCATCATACATGGCCTCCGGTCTCAACCAGCGGTGCGCGGCTGTGTTGGCTGGATGAGTTGGGAACTCGCCTCAGTGCAGAAACAACTACTACTGTTGTGATGGGTGTGTATATCCTAGATTCCCAGTTGTGTAATTAACGTGTCTCTTTTGTCTTCTCTGATCTTGTGACTTCTCTTAGCAGACCTGGGAAGTTTGGGAACTGGTTGGTAGGCGGGCTGTACAATGAAAAACTGGACCACCAGGCATTCCACCAAATTTGCATCACCACTTGTCTGTCACGGTTTTCCCGTTTTCCCTGTCTTGTCAACTGTGTTTCGAAACGACTCGCAAGGTCGACTTGGAAATTTCTCTGAAGGGTGTTCGTGAATATGTCGCTATGCACTTCTAGGCCATTCTAGGCTATTTTCTCATGATTCCGTGCCAGCTTCAAGGAGTCAGTCGAAACAGCATAGATCCCGGGCAGTGCTGCGACACGATGCACGGCCCGCGGGGCTTCGAAGAATGCTGGGACGACTACTTCACCTACGAGCTTTGCTGCTTGGGCGACCCTTGGCCGCCAGTCGCCTCCAAGAGTCAACCTGAGTTGTTTCGGTTGCAAGTTCATCGACATTGATTTGAGCCAAGTGCTTCTAGGGGGTCAGCTGCTTCTGGCATTCGCCAGCACCTCTGTCCATCGAGAGCATGCCGAAGACTGTCCCGGAGACTGTCTCCAATGATTCATGTCATTCCCTGTCAGGATGTCAATGTGGCGGAGATGCCACACTTCTTTGTGGCGCCGGCATTCGACATCAACGTTGGCAATTCTGTGCGTCAGCTTGGAACCTTCGACTTGGGCCAATCGTACGCTTTGCAGACGCTATGTCGGACAGGGGATGCCGTCATCGATGTTGGCGCTTGCCTCAGTCTGCTGAAAGGTTGTGCCCGAATCACATGACATGCCCTACAGAGAAGTAGACTGAAACAACCGGTGACCAGTGTACCACAAGGAATGGACACGGCGTGTATTGATTGCATGGAATGCGCACATTTTCCGTTAGACGTCTTTTCAGGATTCAGGCTTGCTTTTAGCACAGACCATGTGGCCATCCACGGCAGGTTTTCCAGATGCTTTGGGAGTGCTGAGTGGTGAATGTAGGCAATCGAGGTGCCAACGTTGGTGGGTTCACCGTTCCATTAGCTGAGCGTGTCGGCCCTGACGGTGAAGTGCATGCCTTCGAGCCTTTCCGCAAGGTGTTCCAGCACCTGAATGCAAACGATGCTTGCCATCAACTCTGCAGCAGTAAGCTGTTCATCTTGTTTCCGCCCAAGCTCCATAGGGTGTTGCTTTAAAGAGGGCGAATTGGGGGCAGAGTGGGCTTGCCCTAGGTTCCGTGGCATTTGTCATTTGTCGATAGTATGATCTAGATTCGGCTCTAGATTTGCTTGAACAGCCCGAATGAAACGACTGGCTTCAAGACGTTTTTTCTCCAGAATAGGTGGTGTCCTTTTCACTACTGTCGGAGAGAGCAGGTTTGATCCCCTATACCTTGTCGAAAGTTACCAGTTACCAACTACACGTACGGAGCCGAACGTGAGCGATCATGCAGCAACAACACCAGAAATATTCGGCCGTGTTTCGGAATCTTGCAGTCGGGGCTTTGGTCGGACAGAGTCGCGTAGTGCGAGAGTGTTGCTGCGCCTGTGTCTGTACAAGGTCGCTTTGAACGGGCTGAGCAATGTCTACACATACAACGTCGCTCTGGGGACAAAGGAAGAGGAGGTCGCTGCTTTTGTGCCCGACCTCACAAGCTTCAATTGCCCATCTGCTATACGAGTTCTCGACCAGTTCGGACCCGACAAGGCAGCCAAAGAAGCCAATCTCCGATACGAACCACGTCAGGAGACTTTGACAGTCCGCCCTTTGGACAACTTCAAGTTCGAAAGACGCATCAGTTTGATAAAAATCGATGTTGAGTTTATGGAATGGCATGTGGTGCGTGGGGCCCGCCAGACCATAAAAAAGAATCTGCCGCTGATATGGGTCGAGAACGAGGCTTACTTCGACGATCCAGCAAATCTGACTTTCGTCAACACCATGTACTCCGATCTGGGTTACGTCTGTAGTCCTGTAGCAAGGTTACCACCTGCAAGCAGCACATTTTTGAGTTGTTTCATTGGTCAAAAACCAGTGCATGCGGAGAATCCAGAATGACGGCCATTGACTCTCCAGCCTCTTGCAAAGTTGGATGTCTCATACTGGGTGCAGGGATTTACATACTTTGCCGCTAGCTGCTGGCTATTGCTTTCTGCGAGCTTCTTCTCTTCAAGCCATGTCTGAGGTTGGAGTTGCTCTGCAGCCCTGGAAAGGAATCGGGCGGTCAGCTAGTTGCGGATGAGTCTCTGTTGCCAGCAGGCTTCAAAAGAGTCTTCCGTATCCAGGTTGCAAACATGGTGTTGTCCTGCGACCAGGGCCCCTCGTTGACTTGAAAGTGTGACTCTTAACTGAGCTAGTCCAAGGTCATCTGAGTGGCGAGTTCAAAGATGTTCATCTTTGGCGAGCACTTTCAGAGGTAGACCCACGCTTTGCGCTGGGGAAATAGAGAGGCGGAGAAAGAACGGCTGCGCAGATCCGAGGTTTCCCTCGCGTCCGTATAACGTGCACGCAATGCTGCAATGCTGCAGCCTTTCGTCCTGGCCAGGCCGAGGAGTCGACAGTGATGGCCATGGCGGCAGAGGAGCGGAGCGAGCGCGGCCTGCAAGTGACCAGGGGCTCCCCGCCACGGGCCTCCACCGAGCCTCAACGAAACCTGAAGACAAGTGAGGTTTCGTGACTCCCCAAGGCTTGTCCTTGTTGGGTCGCAAACACCGAGGTGCGAGTGCTGCGGCAAAGCCCCGCAGCAGAAGATGTGCTGGTGCGGGTGCAGGCAGCCGACGTGTCACGAAATTCCGTCAGCGCGATATACGAGCGAGAGGTGGCGGCACTAACACCCACGGATGTCGGGGCCACAGGATACTGACTGCCGCTCTGCTCTATGACTCTATGACCTTCCATATCAGGTTCTTCTTTGTCAGCGCGCCCTCATTGTGTCCAAAGCTGACCAGCAGATCCCTCGTGCCGTTCGTGATTCCTGCTAGCACAGACAGTGCATCTAGCCTTTAGTAGGACGCGCCAGGCCAGGTAAGCCCTGAGCTTGAAGTAATTAAGAGGATGAAGACACTCCGGTGCATGAAGGTCGGACGCAGCAACCTTTGTTCCCGGAACATTTTTTGCCGGGAAGGCCCGCGAGAGTTTGGCGTCGTTGGAGATATGTGTCTCTTGGCCCCACCGGGCCGGTGTCCAATGCACTGCCCTCCCAAATGTCCGAATGTGCACGTTTGGTCTTTTGGCACGGCCAGGTCTTAGCCTTCGGCGACTTGGTTCAAGGTCTTCGCATAGGCGAGCTTGTCCTTGGCATCGTGGATCCCTCCTTCCAGGCGGATGGAGAGCGGAGCTCTAGGAAACTACTGAGCGGCTCGCACGCTGCAGGTCTTGCGCGGCAGCTCCCAGGAAGCCGAAGCCACATCTGGGCAAAGCATGGCATGGGAGCATGCCTGATGCACTCGCCTCTCAGGTTCGCTTCGAGCTCTGCGCTGAGATTGCCATCGGTCACACATGCACGCCCTTCAGTGACCAACTGACAAGCTTTACAGGTCGGCGTCGGAAGAGGGCGGATGCTATCGCGAAACCGTCAGCCTCAGACCTCGGACGACTTGAGTGATGTCGGAAGACGCCTTCGAGTGAGTGTAAGGTGCTCACTTCTCGATGTTGCTTCCCTTGGATGGCGCCGGGAGCTGAGCAAGCATCCTTGGACTAGTACAGTAGAACCTGAGACAGGTCGACCCCAAGCTACCTCTCACTGCGCTCGTGGCCCACGTACCACCCATGATCAGTGCTCAACTCATGCCCAGATGCGAGCATTTGCGATCATTGCTGGACTTGTGGTATGCGCATGGCCGCACGTCGGAGACAGACGGTTGTGGGCAGGTGCCTTGATGTGCATGGCCTCGTTGCGATTGAGGCCAATGGAGGTGCGAGCAGGGACTTCAAGGGCCTAGCAGGTCCAAATCTCCAAACACCACAAAGCACCTCGGACAGGCTCTGTTGCTGATCGCACCATCTCTGGACGAGATCGCCTTCCTACTGCAGCGTTTGCTGATCAGCCGGGCCCAGTGAGGAGCGACGAGCAGAAGCACCAGTAAGCCATCAAATTTCGGCTGCAGGTGCATGGCATGGGCCCCTGTACATGGTCCTCCTCTCGGGCCCTGCACCCTCGCGCCAAGATCTTCAGCCACCCGGCAGCCTTTTCAAGCGTCTCGCTGCGGAAGGTCGTGGAATGACTTGAGACCTGTGGAAACTTGACACTGTGCGGCAGGCAGCACCCCCTGCTGCAGCCACTGGTGCCTTCGGCAGGCACTGCAGCGACTGCGGTGGATAGTAAGAGAGACAGGGAAGGGGGTCTATAGGTGCGGTACTGCGGTACGAGTCCAGAGGTTCCGACACCAGAACATACTTGCAGAGCCTGCGGTCTCCTCTGGAGAGTCGGCAGGGAGAGACCGAGTGGGTTTGCGATTCTAGTGGTCTCCTATGGTTTCCTGTTACTTCGCACGGGCCCTTCCTCTCCTGAGCGCGAAAGCAGCGCGGGGTCCGCCTGCTTTCTGGCTGCGCTGAAGAAGGCTCGCCGCGTCCAGCGACATGACACCCACATGCCTCCACAATGATGGAGCAGAGGCCGAGGATTCCAGAAAAAGAAACTATTCAGGCTAGCAGTTCCGCCACATCGCATACACTCGCAACGACTGAACAAACACAGTCCCCTCAGTGTGGGGCAGTCGGAATATGGCTGTCAATGGCAGCAGTACTGGCCTGGTCAACAACGAGGTGTCGAGTGAGTGGAGACGGGAAGCGTCATTTTGCAGCCTTCTACACAGGAGCCACTCCGGCGGCCTGCAACGGTGCCTTGGTCGCGATCGCCGCTTCAGCCGAAGCCGGCCCAGGCGGATGAATGCCGTCGCACTGGCGGCCGATGATGGCCTGGTGGCAGCACGGGAAGAGAGCACGGAGAATGTTCCCGTCTTCTTTTGGCTGAAACGCACCCCCTTCAGCCCTCTTTTGGCTGAAACGCACCCCCTTAAGCCCAACAGCACGGCAGGAAGAAGAGAGAGAGAGAGAGAGAGAGTGAAATATCTAAAATATCGATCCCTGAGAGCTGGAAAATACTTTTTCACACTCCCCGAAAGCCCCATTAACATATGGGGGGCCAATAGGCCGGGGGGTCTGACACGCCCCCTATGCCCTGGGGAAGAAGAAGAGGAGTGAGCAGCGAGTGGAAGGGCGGATGTTCGTGGGACATTCGCATCGCACGAAAAAAGTCAGCTGAGAGCAGCGAGGGCCAATTTTCACAGTGCTGCGGGCCAGGCAGAAGCTTTCTTGATGACATGCTGAGCATTTCCATCCAGGACCGGTCGAAGGGCTGGGTGGCTGTGCGTTCGACGTGTCCCGGGTCCCAAGCGGTGACCTCTGAGGACCGCCTCGAGGGCTTGACCCAAGCCCGGGCGCAGCTGGCAGTGGTGTTGGCGGAGATCGTCGCGGAGGCACCCAGCGACAGTGCTGAAGAAAATCCTGATTCTTGCAGCCTTATCCATCGAGCAGTGAGTAGAGTCTAAGTAGAGTATGACAGGGTATGTTGGACCAGATGCATCAGCTTCGAGATGTCTTCTCACGGCTCGGGAAAGCGATGTTGTCGAATCCATCTCTAGCCACAGGTTCTGACAAGCACCGGCGGGCTTGGTGTGGAGGCTGTTCTCGCTTTGGACGTGGACCTGTGCCCTGACAAGGCCAGGCCAGTTGCCTCATGCGGTTTGCAGATTCGTAGAGTTGTAGATCAAGAATGACACCGTGGCAGTGGTAGACTTGCGGAGAGAGTTGTTGTGTAGGATGACAAGCAGGTTGGAATGGCGGAGCGATTCGCTCGACGTCCTTAGAAAATACAATATGCTGGAAATGTGGACCAAGGACTTGGTTCCTGAGCAGTCCACGGACCTGGATGCTGCATGTGTGGCCGCAGGCTTATTGAAACTTTCTGGTGGTTCTAGTGAAGAGGTGGACACCAATCACACAGGTGATAAGTCTGGTCGGACACTACGGAAATATCGATGGTGCGATCCGCCAAAAAGCGAGAACTCTTCGGATGCACTTGACTTCGCCACAGAGCATCTCCTGAAATGGTCAGCATCTCTCTTGAAAATCAAGTTCGTGGCATTTCTTGGCAGAGTTTGAGCTGTGCTCAGGCTCTGGAGCCCTGTGATCGACCACCTGCGGTGCTCCGAACGCTTGTTGGAGTGCCCTGGCAATGACTCTGACTGTGGCGAGCGCCTTGCGATCATGCCGTCGACTGCTTGCAATAGTTGTCAGGATCCATGCAGATCTGAAGCTCACATGCGCGAGGCACTTGCGATGAGGGGCCGGTTGCTGACGAACTGTGAGAGGCGGGGTTTCGTGTTGACCGAAAATGTCGAAACCGAGAGCATCGCCTCAAATGCTTTGGGCCGGCCTCGCCCTCACGCAGGTTTGAGCTTTCGCCAGATGATGGCCATCACCTCTGGGCAAAAGAGTGCCGGGCTCTATATCTGTCCGTCTGTCTGCGTATAATGTGCACCTACATAAGTCAAGAGCCCAGTCGGTATTTGCCTGTCAACTTGTGCACTCCTGGGTATGTGGAGCACACAGACAAGCAGACAGGCAGGTCATATAACACATACCTTTTTTGACGGGCGCACATGGGCACACATTTGAGCACGGCCCGTTACTCACAGACAGAGCAAGCAGAGCAACAGCTTCGAGAACTTCAGTCTGCATTCCTGAGCTGCGATCGAGCTGAGGGCTTCAAATGTCAAGGGTGATCAGTCCAGAGGTGCTCTGTGGCTTTCGTGAACCCACATTGCTTGCACGTTCCTTAGCCATCTTTTTTTCGGAAAGGGGTAGAATACCGAACTGCGTTCAGTTCGCAGCAACGAGGCCACTCTCGGGAAGCCGTCAGGGTGAGCTGCTGCATGCAGCTATTGAGATTTGCGGGAAGATTGCAGCAGGCCCGTCGGACTGGAATTTAATCAAATCCGTGTGGTGAAAGCTTCTGCCAGGTGAGCTTGCTGTTGCCGAATCAGAGGTTGCTCAATTCTGTTCGGCCCCCAGGGGCCACCGGGTCGTAAGACATCCACGCTTCTGCTGTTATTGAGCCAGATCTTTTTGATCAATTCCAACAAGCCCTGGATGTCATGAGCGCCAAGCGAGAGTATGGAGCTCGGATTGACTCATTTGTGCGCCGGGCTCCGGAAGCCCCGCCCAGGCAGCGCGGCGTCCGGAAGTACAGCAGTGTTGGCGCAGGCAATCGGAGCAAGAACCTGAGGATGCAAACTTATCTTGCTGTCTTGCATGTAGCGGTGTGCCTTCGCTGCCCTTGCTTGACACCAAGGCGCATTGCTGGTGGCATTGGTTCTTTAAGCGACAGCGCGATCCAAGAATAACTCGAAGTGCGGACAGCTGCTGTCTTCGGTTCCGACCGAGCCTTAGGCAGGTCTAAGCCTTTGGTTGGCATGTCCTCGTCTCTTGCAGCGCGTAGATGGCCCAAGCCTCAAGCACCCACATGGTGTAGTAGAAGGCTCCTCGCAAAACTGGCCAACGTTGACTGATAACCTGACATCGCCATCACGGACCACACCTTCAGAAGGCTATTCACGGGTGGGCGTGCATGCCCACACATCTAGGGCTCAACATTGACAAATTTCAATCTACCTCGTGACACTGGTGCTCATGGCCGCCGTTTGGCAACAGATTCATGAAGATGAGGCTGAGATCAAGCGGATTGCAAACGAGCCTGTTGACAGTTGACAAGGGATGCCTGTCCAGGAGCTGGCACGCAGGCTGTATGCGGAGGAGATGGCGCAGCTTGAGGTTTGCGATTCTGAAATTTTTGGGTTCCGGCTTCAGCCTCTGCTTGGGAAGTATCGAAACCTTCTGAGGAGGTGCATTTTACCCATAGCAGGCCATGCCGTTGCCCTAATTCCGACAGCAAGAAGGCATTGTCCGAAAAGATGCTGTCGGCGTCACAAGAATCGCAGTGTCGTCCCCGTAGTGCCTGTATCTTGCGCTGCAGTGTAGGTCAGACCTAGGACGCAACTTCTGGGAGTTGGCGAGCTTCTGTGCAGAAGTTTGGCTCTTGCAGGCCTTTACCCAGCACGAGCCCATCGATTTAGAGCAACAGGAAGGCAGGGGCTTCTTTTCTGCAATTCAGCAAAATTGGTATGCTTAGAGCTGATCGTTGCCGAATTCTCCTCCGATCAGAGGCCTTTGGTAGGAGGTCCTCCCCAGGAATTGATTGTCGAAGCTCAGTTCCCCATCCCAACTGAAGTCAGTTGTTTGACTCTGTCTTTCCGGACATTTCTGGGGAAACCGAGGTTGGGTCATGGGGAACACGTATGTTTTGGGGATTGTGGGCAAGCAAAGCCCAGGCCTGGAGAATTTAGAGCGAAGGGAGCCTGAGCCTGCGGCGAAGAGACGGCGAACGCAATCATGCCTCTCGTCTCGGAAGGGAAAGCTCAAATCGGCAGTTGGACTGTGGTTCACACTGACACATGTTTTTGACTGAATTAGATTCATCCAGGGGGCGTAGGGCGACCGGAACGTGCACTGAAGGTACGGGCGTAGCACGGCATGCACAAAAACACCCCAGGCGAGCAGCTGGCTTCTCTGGACCCTGTGATGGCTGCAAGCGAGGAAGAGCGGGAGGAAGTCGAGGAGATGTATCTTGCCGGTGAACAGGGTCGGCTTGCAAAGGATTTTCAGTACTCAACGCCGGGCGTTTGAATGATTTGAATGCGTTTGAACTCCAAGAGTCGTGACGCGGGCGACTATGTCGCGTTCACGTTACTCAGATACTGAGCTCCTAGGTACAAAAGCTACAAAGGTGCAGGCCATGATCGTTAGCCCCATTGACATGCAGAGTGGACATAGACAGTCGACAGTGTTGTCAGATGTGCGCAAATTCGTGTAAGAAGGCGCAAGGCAAAGTTTTATCCTAGGAGAAGGCACATGCACCATGGATGACTTCATTGACAGGTGGGCTTGCTGGCTCCGGGGCGAAAAACTCGACGATGGCCTGCAGATCGATTCCGGGGCAAAGGACTCCCAGGCCTGGTCCCATTCCTCTTTTTGACCTTGGTTGCTTTCCTTATGTCGGGACTGTGACCTGGATGCGGTCAGTGCTGTGTGACTACTGCGGAGGCTTACTCTTTGCACGCCATCCATGCGCTGATGACCGAATTCAGAAAAGCCCCTGCGCCAACGATCCGCGCTGCCTTCGAGCAGGCACCGCTGCCAGACCGCAACGGCGGTTCGTGCAGACTCCGCCGACAGCGCGAGAGAGATAGGTTAAGTAAAGGTGTGTTGCTAGGGGAAACCCTGCCAGAACCCGCAGGTGCGCGTCCGCGTGCGGGGAGAGGGGTGTCCGACTTTTCTCCTTGCCTGGTAGATAGAGAGAGAAGGAGAGAGAGGGAGAGAGATATAGGGGGTAGGCCTCCGGGCCAGAGCTCCTACAGGGGCTCATACCCCAAGCAAGCAAGCAAGCAAGCAAGCAAGCAAGCAAGAGATACAGGTTTAGGGGATTCTCGTTACACCTACGGGGCCTTTCCTCGCATGTCTCTCCGTTGACAGCTGCCCCCCCCCCAGTGCGCGTTCTGGCACGGAAGGGTTTTGCCCTTCGTACATGTGGTGGAAGAAGAGATAGAGAGAGAGTGAGAGAGTTAACAGATTTTGCTTTCACTTTAAGACTTGCAGACCAGTGCAAGCTCACACGTGGAGAGGGTGGGGACCTACACTCTCTTGGCTGTGTAGAAGAAGTTGCAAGATTTGCGTGAACAGGCGGGAACCTACAGCCAAGCACGCGCAATTCTGGAGGCACTGTGGCTGAACGAGGCCCAAACACGATGCACGCAGCTAACCGAAGCAGCTGCAAGGCGAGCGAAGATAACGAATCGTTGAAATGCTCCCGGCCAAAGAAGCCTGCACCTCCTTGTGAAGTACCAGCGATGCTGCAGAAGGTGCTCAGCAGCATTTTGCTTGTGAGGTGGGCAGATTCCTCAATGCACGAAGCACCGCCGCGGTGACGACTTAAGGAAATGGACCTCGGGCCCGACGCTGTCGCCATTGGCGAGGCATTCGCAAAGCGAAAGCAGGCGGTGCACTTACGGGCTTTCGTTGTTCGAGTTTCTTCTCAGTGAAATGATCAGTGTTCAGGCTCGGGCTGAGCGAATCCGAGAACTGAAAGCTCTCGGCGGTCTCGGCACTTGCGGGTGCTGCTTTGATGATGAGCTCCTGCCAGAGGCAGGGCGCCGAAAAGCAGTGTGGTCCAGACGCTCTACGGCCGTAAACCGCTCTTGGCTTCTGGCATGTTTAGCCACGTTGCCTCCCACCATCTCAGAGGAGTCTAGAGTTATGCCTAACCCTGTCCCGTCACCGGGACATGCACAGGAGGAGCTGCGGTGTAGCGGAGCGGCTGGGCATGGTTTCTGCATTCCGTGTGCCCAGAACTTAGGCAGAAAAACTGTCAGCTACGCTTGACCTCACAGAGATTCCTGTCCCAAGCTGCTGAGGTCAAGCGCGCGGCACTGGAGTTTTTTGGACGGGGATTGTTCACCTTGAACTTGAGCGGGGGTAGCTCACAAGACCCAAGCAGCTCCGTGGGGAGGAGCCCTGTCAAGAATGGCTCGTTTGCCGGTAGATGCCAGCGATTACCCTGGCAGAGTATGCAGTGGCAAGGAGTGATGCTGGGATCCCGGGTTTGAGCTGTTCAAAACTCGGCCACTCGGACATTGTAGACGAGTCCGCTACTAGTAGTGCCGATCTTTGATACAGGTTGGCAGTCCAAACTCCATGGGCTACATGTTTGGCTGTGCGAGGTTGTCTGGACACTTCTGGTTGTCAAGGCCATTTCACGGACACGGCTCTGCGGAAGGCCCCGGAGATGTCATGACATGCTGCCGATGTGTCGCACTGGCATTATGCAAGAGGAAGAGCCCGGTTGACTGTTCGAAGGCTCTGCCGAAGAAGGACTACGCAACTGGGCTGTAGGTGTTAGTGGCTGAATGCATTGTGCTCGTGGTAAACATGCATGATGCTTGCTCAGGCTCGGTACTCACGGCGCTCAGCCGCACTTGAAGCGGCAAACTCTGGTCTAACAGACCTGGTCGCATGCAGCTGCCTCAGGGTTGGAGCTGTGCGACCATGGTGGCTTCCTTATGCCGCAAGTATCGTTGATACATCAGATGTATTTGCTAGGCCCCAGTTGCGACTTCATGGTGCAGATGACAGATCCCAATGCGCCTTTTTTCACACGATGCCGCGCTGCCGTGCATAGATTTGTCCCTCATCTGACCACGATTGAGCTCAGGATGGCATTGTAAGGTGCTTGGATCCGGAGTGTGGTCAGACAACATGCCGCTGGTGCATGAAGCCCGAGCACAGCCCGTTGAAGTGCGATGAAGTCGAGGAGGTTACTCGTTTGACACGAATTTAGCCAGATATGCCGTCTGAAATTGGACGAATCTCCGGATTTGTTTGCGTCTCGGCCCGCAGCACAGGACGGAGAGACAAAAATCAGGTGGGACAACTACGGCCAGTGCAAAAAGCATGCGTCAGCGGCTGCGTCACCTGCACAGGACGTTCCTGGAAGAGAGGATGGCAGAGGCAGCCCTGCGGAGGTGTCCCAACAAGAGATGCCGGAAACCCTACGAAAGGCGCGAAAAGACTAAGACTAAGACTTCGCGCGGAGCATTTTTGGGTCGAAGATGGAACCCAGGGAAGAAGGCTGCAACCACATCAAGTGTCCTTGCGGGACACACAGCCGGAGCCTCGGTGAGCCTCGGCCGCAGCTGATTGCGAACCGCGACAGCCGGGAAAGGCTGCTATCTCTGCGGCCAAGAGTTAGACAAAAAGAGGCCCTACGACCACTACAAGGAGACTTCAGTCTGTCGAGATACGACAGTTATGAAAACGGCCACATTGGTTCAGGATGGCCATTTGGGTGGAGGCAAGAACGACTCTTCCTCCAAATGTATTGTGTGCGGATCCCAGTGCTTTCTTCCGAGCTACATTTGGGCGCTAAGCCCGGGGACCCGCCTCGGACTCTAAACTCTAAACCCCAATCATCCACAAACCGAGGGCACTGGGGCACTGGGAGGTGTGGTGGGGACTGTTGGGGAGTGCGGTGGGTGGTGGCGCGTGGTGGTGCGGCAGGGGACGGGGAATTCTTTTGGTGGTAGCGCTGGTGCTTGTGCCAGTGGTAGAAGCAGGAGTAGTTATCGTCTGGTGGCCGTAGTGGCAGTAGCGATGGCGCTAGCAGCAGTGGCAGTGAAGTCGGCCAGCACAAACCAAAACACCTGATGAGAGGCAGGTAAAATCGGACCAAACCACTAATCGACTGAGGAGGAGGGGATGGGAATCTAGGAATCCATGATTCTTCAATCATGCCTAACACAAGCCTCGGCCGAGGTATGGGACTCCAGCTTGGGCTGAGAAGACTGCAAAGCAAAAACAGCAGGCCGACATCGTCGCAGATTCTTTGGCGCACACGTCCCACCATGGGTGCCTCCCAGGAGACGGAGGAAGCGCTGAAGCAATACTTGAAGGAAAATCCAGAACTCAAGGAGATTGCTGCAGGCTCCAGCGAGGCGAAGAAGAAGAGGCATGTTGCAGGATTTACGACACTTTGATTGAGAGGTGGAGAGCCGTGCTAATCAGTAACCGCCACATTCTTGGAGGGTTTCCCAATCCTGATATGTATCCGAACATAAAGTAGAAGCCAGAAAGTTGGAACATCATCATCCTCATTACAGCGAACCCCCAAAAGTTGGAACATAGGATTCCCTATACTTTACCTTTCGGGCATGAGGATGATGACAGCCAGCCAAATAGTAATTGAAAAGCACTTTTGGCTAGAACGGGCATTGATTAATGCTCATGCCCGAAAGGTAAAGTATAGGGAATCCTATGTTCCAACTTTTGGGGGTTCGCTGTAAATTGCAGTGCTGCAATCGTTGACAACTTGCTGCTTCCAAATCGTTGCTGCGAACACAGACCCATCTGATGGCGGAATTTATCGCTGAGTCTCCTGGTTAAACAAACTGTGCAGGTTAAAGCAGTTGATGCAGACGACTCCAGAAAGCCGGAATCGTGGGAAGTCGAGAAAAGAGAACGACATTCCCAACCTTCAAGTCGACACAGCGATTTTGCTGCAACTGCGGGATAGTAGATGATAAAGGTCTGTGTTCACGATATGTGCTCGCCTTGCCGTGCGATGTGCCCACTGAGGCTTGTGCCGTACAGTGAAACAGTGCACAGCAGCTGCGAGAAGAAGAAAAAACGTCTGGTCGGGAGTCAGGTCTGCATGGGTCTGTGCTCTCTCGTGCGTGTTGTCTCCAAAAGCCGCGGCGTCCTGCAGCCGATGAAAAGATACATTCTGCAGAGCAAGTATGGACCAGAAAAAGACTCATCGTTACCGAGTGGGCATGTAATCGAAGCAGCCCGTGACTGTTTGGTGCAGGCCCGTGGCCCAAGAGTTTGGCTGATCGAAGTTTTGCTAGCATGGCCGAGGAGAAGCAATGCTTGCCGGGTGATGCACTTACATGTGAAGCCCTGCAGCGGGAGCTGCAAAGGTTTGCAGAGAAACTGCCAGATTTGTTCCAGACTTTCGCGGAGGAGACCGCCAAGATCTCCTGTGAGCAGCTACAGGAGCTGCTGAGCCAGCGTGGTAGGACTCCGGTTGCCACTCGAGCCCAGACTGGCACGGTGGATGAGACAGAGGGTACACATTCAACCGACCACGAGTGGGCTCACCGGCATGTCCGTCCGGCTGCACTTCGAGAATCTCCCAAACCGAACCAGCACATCAGTGTAAAAGAGATTTGGAAGGCGGTTGTTGACATAAGGCGGCCGACGCTCAAGGCAGAGCACGAGGCACCTGCTTTCCAGATCGTTCCTCAACGTTCACTGCACGGCTCACCACCAGCATCGCCGAAACCAAAGGGACCAAGGATGTCGCTTTTATCGGATCGCTCGCTTCCGGCCCCGGAGCCGCCATCACTCCCGGGCTCCGTGCAGGCCATGCAGGAGGCAGAGGAGGTAGAGCCACCTGGCGATGATAGCCCGCCGGCCCTCCAGCCGAAACGGCCAAGTTCTCGGAGCGTTGCACAGTCGCCCGTGCCGGAGGAGCCTGACAAAGAGACAGAAGGCCGCGCAGAATGGGAAGAGCCCAGCAATCCTCCTGCTGACGGTCCTGACGGTCCGAACACTTGGGATCCGCTCAGGCAGCGGCTAGCACGAATCAACACCAGCAAAGTGTACAAGCCGGAAGTGTCTCGCACGTCTACGTCTTGGTGGCACATCTACGAGATGCTGGTGTACGCCTAGAGTACTTGACGCTCATGGTAATCGTTATCAACGCCTTCTGCCTAGGGTTGGAAACCAACATAATGGCTACCAACCTGTTGTCCACGACGCCAGAGGAGTTCATCCGGCTCGGCTGGGCATTTTGCACCTTGGACTTGTTGCATCGGCCTGGCACGCACGGCTTCTCGCGCTGGTTAGGTTAGGTTGCGTACCGTTCGGCTTCGTGTGAACACAGGCGGTTTCTTCACCCTTGAGATGGTTCTGAAGATCTCGGCAAACCCATCTCGGTTTTTCCTGGGCGCGGCCTGGACTATGAATCTGCTTGACTTCTTTCTGATGGCACTGCAGTGGCTTGATGTGGCTTGGCTACCCCAGAATTTTCGCATGTCTTGTGCCTGACATTGGCCACTTCACGTGCCCAGGTCGTTGTAACCGTCCACACGGCAGACAAGGAGAATTCTGATGCTGGTTCCGTGAACTTCAACATTATGCGGTCCATTCGAATGGTGAGACTTGTGCGCATCGCGCGGAGCTCACCCTTTCCCAAACATGGCAAACCGCATTTCGACCGAATGCTTCGCAGAAGCTTGACTCAACCGCCCACATGCTCAGGTGCGAAGCTATCGGGTGCTGAGGCCAGCGTTGCACGACTGCTGTCTTTGCTCGGTTTACTCACAATGTTGTGTGCGAGCCTTCCATGCATCTGCTCGAGCTCGTCCATTCTCCCGCTCTAATATCTCTCCAGTCACTGCACAGTATCAGGTACAGTGGGATTTGCACCGGCGAAAAATCACAAAGATGTCCACTGACACATCTGACACGAAAGAATGCTTCATGTGTCAGGATGCTGGGAGAAGTTCGAGCAATCATCTGGTCCGTGGGAACCTGCTTAAAGCCTCTGTTGGGAGCACTGAGCCTTCAATGCAAAATTGCTTTGTGTATAAGTGTATAACGTGTATAAAGCGGGCAGACGCAGGGTGTGCATGTGTGTGAGTGTGTAGGGTCTACCATTCTATCGTGTTTTGTTCACTCCTCTCCCTCGATCTCTTTCCTCCCGGATTGAGATTGATCTATGCTATGCGAAACAGTCTAGCAGAAAAGCGTGCTCCTGTGTATCGAGGTTGGTTCTGATGACACTGCCTCCTAGCTGGAAATTGAGTGAAGTCTCCGCGAAGACCATGACTAACAGCTGAAATGGTCGAGGATCTATTTGCTTGCAGTTTTCTTGGTTGACACTTGCAACTCTTACCGGGTGGCGGCAGATATTGCAGACGAGGGATTTGAGCAGCTGGGGACCCTCGGACAATTTATCAGAGAATGCGTGTAGAGGGTAGAGGCGACAGAGGGGCTAAACACTGGCGGAGAACCAAAGTTAGCACCGGCAGGAGAAGACTCAAGCGTCAAGTCCCGAAGAAGTGTTTCTGTATTGCCCAGGACCTACTATGGATCACTTGAGCGAGGCCTTGCGACTCGAAGCTGCTTCTGACTGTCGTTTTGGTATCACAGAGCTGTCGTCCTCCGTGTCTTGACGGGTGGTGAGTGGGCTTCCGAGCGGTGCCTGTGTTGTAGCTCTGGCACTTGGTGCAGGCATGCTTACGCTGTGGCAGATCATTACCGGTGGGATGGATTGGGCAGTTGCTGTGAACCCTTTGATGGACCCTGGGCCACTCCAGTACGTTCCGGTGCGAGGTGCGCAGACTGAATATTTGCGTAGATTCGCAGATGGCGCCGAGGATCACACCGGGCCGGTCCCGGTGTTCGTTGTGTTCTGTTACATAGCTTTTGCACTGCTGGCGCTCCTCAACGTCATCACAGGGGTCCCGGCCTTTCTTGGTCTGCACAACGGTGTGTGTGCGTGTGCATGCATGCATGCAATTGAGTGTCTTTCCTGCGGAAATTGGCTGTTAGCCAAAGCAGGCAGAGCATGTTTTGGCCAACAATCTTGCATGTACTGTGGAATCCTGCCAAGGCCGATAAATGGCGGGCAAATGCTAGCTTGGCGCTGCCTCGTGAAACAAACTCAGGTCTGCGTGGAGAGTGCGGTAAAGAGGGTAAAGGAGGACAAGGACAACTACTTGGTACAATACGTGCGTGGAGTTTTCAAGCCACCTGCCGAAGAGCTTTTGTTTCAAGCTGCTGCCAGTTCTCCCGAGCAAAATCAGTTTCCCAAGGCGAATGGAAACCTCTGGTACTGGTGTCATCACTTGGGATGACTTCCAGTCAAGTGTCAACTCCAAAGACATGAAGGAGCTGCTGCTCGTGATGGCATGTTATGTGTATGTCCGCACTGCCAGCCGATCAGACCTGCAGGAGCTTTTCAAGGCTATTGACCTGGACATATCCGAGGCTCATTGTGCAGCCAGCCTGAACTAATCAAACAACATGCAGTTTGTGCCTTGTGCAGAAGGGTGTCACAGGCGACACGGCTACCACAAGCTGAACGCGAGATTTCCTGAGTTTATCATCGAATGCGCTGGTCGTTTTGAGCACACGGTTATAACTCTTTCTGTGCACATGCACCTCATGGATTTCTTTTTCATGCGCTGCAGCAGCACCCGCTGCAGCTCGAAATCCTTCCTTATTTATGTTACAGCCGGTACGTGCCTTTTGCTGAGTCTTCTTCCATCTTCTTCCGCATTCGGGCAGAGGGAGACGTGCCCACAACGACCCAAACGCTGGGGTGGATTTTCCCACTGCTTGGAAAGAGTTACTGAAGCAGTGAGCGATGCAACATCGGGCTACGAGCATGCTGGTGCGAGGTTTCTCGTACAACGCGGTGATGGTAGACAGGCCAGGATATGTGTCTCGCAAGCCATGCTTGATGTAATATCGGACGGATTCTCAGAATGGCATTGGGGGGCAAGTAATACCTGACAAGGCTTCTCCGCAAGAAAGTCCTTGCGTCATCCCAAGTGCCAACCATCCCTGGCCCAAGCTCTATCTATGCTGTTCCGTGCATGGCCTCCACACCAGAAATCTCTCGTTCTCTCTTTCCTTATTGCAGCACACATGCTCTCTCTCTCTCTCTCTCTCTCTCGCTCTCGTGTTGTTGAACTCTGCCTTTCTGTGTGTTTTGAGGAGAGTCCCAACTCATGTGAGTTAAGAGTTGAAGTTGATGCCCGTAGAGCCTGTTTACACGAAGATTTACACCTCTTAGAGTTTGACTCATGTGTCACCACAGCCCAACATGGTCCACATCGTCGTGAGCGAGCATGTGCACAGTCTCGTTGTCTCGCGGCTCGCCCTGCTTCGCTCCATGAGTAGCTCCGGAGCTTGAACTCGAGCCTCAAGACTCCCACAAAGGTATTCAAGATATTGGACTTAGACGATGATGGCACGCTCGATGCAGATGAGTTTCTCAGCGGGTGCTTGCGCCTCAGAGGCGCAGCAAAGGCACTGGATGTCTTGGTTCCTCGGCTTATGTGAGCTACAGTGCTGGTCGTCTTTGCACAAGGGGGCTCAGTGTGAGGGTGACCCCAAGAAATCTGCATGCCGTTGCCAGATGACAAGTTCCGGTTTGACCCTGGTGTGGTTTAAATACGCCTGCGAGGTCTTGATGCGAGAGATCCGGTCGATGCAGCAGCAGCTCGTGCAACAGCTTCAGTCAGTGCCAAGCTAGATTGTGCCGGCAGCTTTGGTTGGGCTAAACCACGTGCCTTCTCGTAGAACGCGTCGCTCCCCGACAGACTCGGAGGACGCAAGTTGTTTGGGTGAGGCATTATGAGGCTTTATGCCGTTTATGCTGTTTCGAAGTCTTCTGTACAGAAGCTGGAGCGCACAGTGCTTCCAAGAAGCTGTGCGTCAGACAACAATGCGAGGGGGTTGCCCTGGTTCGAAAAAAGGCGCGGAGGTTTCCATGAGGTGCAAACCTACAAAGGGACAGTACAGCTGCCAGAACGAAACTCAAGCTGGCTGAAGGGCTTGGGCTCTTAGCGGAGTGTAGCAGCTGAGCGCGGCAAGCTGCCGGACCTGGACTTGGTCGGAGGCAGCTCAGCTGCAAAAGCGTGGAATAGCGATGAGCTTTAGGTCGCTGCACCGCGTGGGCCAGATACTGCAGTTACTGCTTAGGTGGCAATGGCACTCAAGCTTAAGCTTCAGTATCTCGGCAAGAACCGGAGCCTCGCTGTACACGGCGACGATACCATCCAGTCGCTGAAACTTACGATACGAAGCCTGCTGGGTTTCACGCCGACCTCTGTCCTCCTAGACGGTGCGCTATTGATGGACGGCAAGAAGCTTTCAGACTATCGTGCTGATCCTGCCTCCATCGTGAGCATTAAGCGCCGGAAGGCCGTGCCTTGTGTTGTGTCCGTACCATCATAGCAGTGCTTTGGCATGTACTCAGTCTGCTCTGACTATTGAGCGAAGTTGAAGCAGGTGAGGATGGGCGATGAAGCTTCAGGCGGCGGTGGAAGCAACGGAGCTCTGACGGGCAGTCGGATCCCTGTCGCAGGTCTATCACCAGAAGGAGACGATGTGGCGCTTGTTACTCCGCCACGGAAAGCTGCACGAAGCCTGCGTCGCAGGCCTTTGACTACGATGGATGTAGATGCGACTCTTGAATGCACCCGGTAGCAGTCGGTAGCAGAGCCGTGTGGAAGCATGGGCTGGCTCTTAAACCCTCCCCGTTTTGCCGCAGGCGCGCAGCCTCGAGAATTGGGGGGGGGTTTCATGCAAGGGCACGCTACAGTAGGTCCTAAGTGGATGGAAAGCCGATTGGAGAGGAGGTTGCAACATTGGTGAAGGAGCTTGAAGATGGGTGGCCATTGCAGCCATTGTGCAGATGTTCACGCAGTTGGTGCCGAGGTGGTTGGGGAAGATCTTGCTTACAGTGCCTATCCGGCTGTCGCCGCGTGCGACCTCTGCTGCGCATCGCAGAAGCTAAAAGAAGAACAGGCAAGACTGCGAATGCTACTGCATCAGAGCTCGGCAGAGCTGCAGGCAGTACAGGCTGAATTGGAAGCATCACAAGCAGCTGCAAGCGCCTCAGCGCAGGAGCTGCTGTCCGTGAAAACTCAGTTGAACCAATCCCTGGAGGTACGAGAGCAGCTTCAGGCTGAATGGAGGTCAAGAGCCGAAGTGCAGGAAGAAGAAGCACAACAAGCGCGGCAAGCTGCAAGCAGGGCTCAAGACGAGCGAGGGCAACTCCAGGCCGAAGTCGTCGAGTTGTCCGAGAGATTGGAGGTAGCTCGGGAGCTCGAGAAGCTTGAGAACGAGGCTGAAAAGCACTTAGCAGAGACTCGAGAGAGCCAGGCGAGCCAGGCTTCTCACTACCCTGACTGGACTGCCTTAAGCAGAAGTGTTTGCGCCGTTTGCTTGGAACCATCTGCAGACAGAGTGGCCGTACCTTGTGGTCACCAGTGTGTTTGTGAAGGGTGTTTGGTCAAGGTGTCTGCATGTCCGGTTTGTCGGCAACCGGTGGATTGCTTCCTCAAGGTCTTCGTAGCCTGCCCAGCGCACTTCGAGGAAGAGTGCATGGAGCTTCGACGGAGCCTTGCCATTGAGGAAGCTCGGACTCAGGAGCTCCAGACTGTGGCACGGGCAAAAGCGAAGCCATGGATGAACACGGGCGGCGTGCTGAAGCCTCAGGACTTCCAACGCCTGGCGAAGGCTACCCGTCGTGGTCGTGAGTTGGACAAGTTGCTTTTGCCGCAAACCTCGCGAGCACGCAACGGGGACATTCTCACCAACCAGACGATGGTGGACCTGGTGGATTTTCAGCACCATTTGGCCAGCTTACCTAGGCCGACGTTACGACGTTGATGGCCATGGCCATGGCCCTTGAAGGGCGACCTGAAGCAACGAGCACAGACGTCAAAGCACACGTCCAAAGTTCAGACTCGGCGCAGATGTATACTGCACAGACTCACCAGGTGGGCAGTCTAACCAGCTTAGCAGAGCAGTGGGAAGTCCGAGATAAGCGTTTGCTAAAGACTGTAAGTGCCAAGCGGAATGTCTTCTACTCAGGAAGGCCTTGGCTGAAGCTCGAAGGCTTTGCCTCGAAGGGCCTTTCATGGAGTTTGCCGGCTCATGGGAAGTCCTAGCAAGCGGTCTGCTCCCCAAGAAGGTGGGCTGCATCAAGAGTGCACGCGGGATTTCAGTTTTCGTCCTGTGTGTCCTGCTATATCTTCTGTTATTCGTGGAGGAGGCGGACGCCCAGACTTTGCCCCTCGAATGGATACGGCTGGGGAAACAGAGCCTGTAGATGATCGCCCAATGCATGGTTGCTCAGGAGCACACTTACGGTGATAGGTCCTCTGGAAAGTTGAGACACTTTTGAGACATTTGAGACACTGAGGCTCCAGAGCCTGAGCATGTGCAACGGCTGTGTGCAAGAGGCGCGACAGCAGATCGCGGAGACACATGCTCCTTGCCATCTCTGAGCTGCCATTCAGGCACGTAAAGGCATGTGCGGTTCGGACAAGCCTATCCAATACTTGGACAAGTTCCGTGCCAGCTGAGGCACTTTGATGAGAGATGCGTCCAACTTGCAGCGACGGGGAGCCTGCGGCTTACAGATGGAAGATACTGTACCCCGGCAGTTCTGACTCTAGCTTGCCTGCTATGACGACTTGTTCAGGAGCAGCACTGAAATCCGGGTGCGCCTCTTGCGCTGCCAAGGGGTACAAAAGCAGGAAAGCTGCTGAAGGTGTTCCGGTAAGAAAACGGGGTGCAACGCGGGGTCGTAGTTGAGCATGGTTCGACAAAAGCCGCGCTCGAGCACAAAAGGAGGGAGTACACTCAGACAAGCAGACCAAGAGCGAATTGCAGCGCTATCGTCCTTGCCGTTGTCACAGTACTTGCTTCATGTCGCAGCCCTTGTTCACATGCAAGCATTCACGTCACAGTCACCATGGCTTTTTGTCCTCATACCGCTCTGTTTTAAATCAAAGACAGACATAGCCTGTCATGAGTGACCACAAGTCCGCATCATCTACATCATCTCGACACTTCTCGTTGGCCTATGGCAAAATGGAGCAAGTCCTGTGTGTGGCTGTCGCCGCCAATTTGGAATGAATTTGCTCGAGAAGGTCGGCGATTTCATTGCAAAAAGAGGTGAAGACCTACATCAGCAGATTTCTGGCAAGCGCGTCTTCTCCGCGCACATCACCAATGCCACAAAGAAGGTCTTGGAAGTGCAGGGCAAGCCGACGGTGAGCTATGGAAGGTCACGGCGTCGTAAACCGTTAGCAGGCAGAGAGACAGACCCAGCCCAACATCAGGAAACCACGTGTGGTTCGTCGGTTCACAAGCTTCGGATCAACAAAGCCCGACAATTGACATTCCATGTGAAGGTGCCTCGAGTATTGTAGCTAGCAACTTTTGCTCTAGACTCAGATGATTCAGATCTTGCAATCAGGCCCCGGACGAGAGAGAAACAGGGACTGTGAAGTTTTGAAGCTTGACAAGGGCGACAGAACAGCAGCGTGGAGAACACCTGAGCAAAATTGTCCAGGTGCAGCCACTTCTCCAAGCTTCCTCCAGGCGAGGCAGGCACCATCAAGTTCGAACACGACGGCGAGCATGGCGGTGCCTTCGAGTTCACTTTAGGAAGGGATCGCTTCTTCCTCGGGCAGCTGCTTGATGCAAGTTAACAGGTGGTGGTAGTTTCTTTCTGTGAGAATTCGAGTATGTAGGTTCCGCTAATGACTTATGTCGACTTCGAAGAGCATTGGAAGAGCTGAGGTACATGCGTGCTAGCTACTCCTCCCTTTTCGGCCAAGACCAATTTGTTCTGGAGTTTGGTGACAAGACCTTGAAGTATCTTGGGCCTGTGAACTCAAACACTGAATTGCCCCCTAAAGCCGCGACCGACTTTGATGGACGGAGGGCTCTTGAGTTCGTCAGCGGAGGCAGTTCTACCTCGGGATGCCCCAGCACTTCATGGGGTTGCCGAACCGCGGCGTCTCGCGGACGGAGGGTTTGGAAAACACCGCTGCTTGGACCAGCAAGCTTCGCAAAGTAGCAACTTGAAAATGCACAGGCGGTAAAGAACTCCCTGTATGCCATCCACGCATTGTGGCAGATGTTGCATGTCCTTGCATCTGGCTTTTGTCGGTGAACTTCATTTGGTCGAGACATGGGCACGGATTGGACAGACCGTTCCAGGCCATCGTAAGGAAGGCCACGTGCTCCACCAACTCCCAGGCCAGGCCGTGCACGGCTCTGGGGGAGAAGCAAATGCTCGGACATGTCGGAAGGTGGAGGTGCTCCTGGCGCCGGCACTCAGCCTCCACATCTTCGAGGAAAGAGTGATTTGCTTGGCGCCGGGAGATCTGCTGAGTATGCCCCGAAGGAGCTGGACGAGCTGGATGGTTTGCAGCAGCTTTGCCCGATTGCGTGGTTCTCTAGCTTGGTAGGGGCATCGTCCGAACGGACATGCTCATGGAGCCTGAGAACTTTAGTTGAGTGCTCGGGTTTTGATTCCGGATTTGCTGTGTTGCCTCAGCAGCAGCAACGACGACGAAAAACAAGGGAAGGCCGACGACCACGAAAGCGACCGCGACAATCACAACCACAACGACAACAACCAACCCAACCAACCAACCAACCAACCAACCAACCAACCAGCAACCCAGCGCCAAGAGACAAGAACTAGCCACAGCAGCAGCAGCAACAACAACCACAACCGCCGCAACCGCCACGACAACCACGACAACAACCATCACTACAACATCCGACAGTAGCAGGGAAAGCCAAAGCAGCAATAGCCACACCAACAACACGAAACGCGTGACTGCTTTGTCTTCCTGTTTCCCGTTGTGGTTTCGGTGCTCTCTTCTGTGCCGAACTAGTTTATTTTCCTGGCGCGACATCCTGGCGTGCGACCCTCAAAGAGATTCTGTGTGGGCCATGGGGCGAGTTCGATGCCAAGCGACTCCTTGAAACGGACGTTTGCCTTGTACTCGTGCGTGTGACGAGGCTGCACGATTCACCAAAGGTCGATGATATTCCCGCATGCCTCCGCATACAGCCTGATAGATAGATTCTGATAGATCTACTCGCTTACCATGCACCTGGCCGGTGGGTGTCAAATGTCGGCGCCACGGAGTGTTCTTTCTTCGGTGGGGGTTCTGGTCACCCAGGACTGGTCGGCGTGAACTCCTTGTTCCACTAGTTCGCGCTAAGCCATACCAGGATATCTATGATATCTAAAATGGTATAAATCAAGCCCAGAGTTTGCACTGGAGGCCAAAACGCAGCAATTCAAGAGATCCCCGCCCGCAGCAGAGTGTATCAGGCAGCTTGCCGTGGCGGAGACATGCGAATTTGCGAAGCCGGAGCTCTTGAGCGGCGCCTTGTTCATTGAGGCGTGGAGCTTCAGGAATTTTCAGTCTTAGCAGCGCACGCGCGTGCATGCTCAACCTCTGAGACACGTGTGCGTGCCTGCTGGAGTGCCCACGCGCCATCAGAGCCAATGGCCAGGAGTTTCATTGCCTGCGAGACGGGCTCGCGCACAGCTCGCTGCATGAGCAAGCTTTGGCCCTGGATCTTCTCATCGGGGCTATGATCGCCAATGGTTTCGTGGCTGACAGATCTGTTGTTGGAGAGGGAGAAGTTCATGGAAGGATGGAATACAGGGGATTGTGAAGCACAATTCTGCCTGTGATGAGGTGAGGCACGTCCGATTTGACAACTCTACTTACTAGCCGCTAATGTGACAGGGTAAACGTCTTCAGCAGGGCAGTACGATATCCGAATCGTCCAAGGATTGTGTGGCTCCGCAAGCCAGAGGGCCTCGCATCTTTGGCAAGAAAGCCGATCCCGATTTCCTCCGCAAAGCGGCAAGATGTCACCTTATCGTGCTTCAACTGAACAGAAGTTCGTTCCACTGTTGGGACGGGTTTGTATGGTACTGAACGGGCATTGCAGCAGCTGATCACGTGGAGCCTGAGAATTTGGTTGTGAGGCTTTTATGCCAGCCTCTCCAAAGAAGTACTGGAGTCCCATGCTGATGTGTGCCACAGCCTTTTGCGAAGCAGTGCTTTGAGATGCGCTGAGCCTTGCCTGCCATACAAACCAAGTCATGTATTGCCAGTGTTGAGTGCACCTCGATTAACCCTGGTGTTGTAAGGAGCCAGTTGTCGCTTTCTGCAAGTCGCAACGACGGTGGCCTCCGCCAGCAAACGTTGGGCTAAAGACTGCGGAGGGTGCAGCTTGGGAAACATTCAGGAGTTTCCGCACAAATATGGAAGAGTGGACAGAGCGTCCGTGCGCTGGGAGTATGTGTAGCTTATGTGCCACTACATGTGACTAGCAATCCTACACACATTGGTGCACCCCGAGAGTGGCGAAAGGTATCCCCTTTTCAGTTCAGTAGTTATGCACGCACAGTCGTCAAGCCGGAGCCGGAGACAAAGGAACAGCAAGGACGCAAGAAAGGTGCAAACGCAATGCCGCGGCTAGGATTCGCAGTCGCAGTGCGACGGCAGCACCCATCGCGCTGGACGGCAGGTGGCCGCTGCAGGGCGATGGCCACGGCACCGTCGCAACATCGGCCCAGGCCGACCAAATGGGTGCCATCGCTCAAACAAGGCACTGCCTCTAACAGAAAGTAAGGCGAGCATGGAAGGAAAGCAACAACGCAACAGGCTAAGCTGCGACAGTTCAGCCGGAGTTGAGTAGCTGAGTGGCACAGGCAAACAACTACTACATACACTATAATTCTTTGCTTCCGTTGTCTTATCTTCTCAACCCAGCCATGTGCTTGTCAACTTTCTCTTTTTGTCGGTCCACCTATCGATGTCAATATCTCCTTGTCTCTAGTTGTGTCAATGATGTCCGAGGCCTCTCATGCAAAGATCGGTTTCGATACGAACGATGCCATCTTATGCAATCATTTGCAAAGTACCGCTGACACGAAACTGCGGGGAAGCGTCTGCAGCGGACAGACCTCTGAATCGGCTGACAAGTTCCTTCAAGAGCTTGTCCGCTCGTGTGTTGACGCCTCATGCCGGGCATCTATGACAAGGAGTCGTCTCTTCGGACGGCTACTCGAGACTTGCAGTCCGGAAGCAGCCGGCCCTCTCAGAGAATATTTGGGCGCGCACCCGCTCTCCAGAAGATGTTGCTCCCTGAAACAGTCCGGGAAGTCAGAGGCAACTCATTTCGAGGTGTTTTGCGCAGAGCTTTTCGACAACCTTGATCCGCACACTCGTGCGCAGACCGTGGTAGCGTCGCTCGGCAGCAGCTCAGGAGACTACAGGAGCCTGTCTACGAATTCAAAATCTGGTGAGTTTTTCTTCCTTTCCCAAGACAAGAAGTACTTGGTCAAGACTATTTCAGAGGATGAAGGCCTGGTCCTTTTCCGGATGTTGCCAGGATACCAGAATCACATCCATTCCACGCCAACCTCACTGATCGTTCGCTTTGCCGGCCTATACAGTGTGACAGTCGCAGGTGGCGGGCTACGTTATTTCATCATTATGAAATCTGTTTTTGATCCAGCCGTAGAGATTCACTCCCACTACGACCTAAAAGGCTCTCTGCACCACCGGAAGAAGAAAGACGAATCCACAGGCAAAGATGAGGACTGGATTCAAGACAAGATGCAGCTCAGCCCATCAGAACGCAAAAGGCAGGAGATGTTAGAGGCTCATGAAGCTGATGTCCAGTTCCTTCAGGAACATGGCGTCATGGATTATTCCGTCTTGGTCGGGATCCACAATGTTGCCCAAGGGCAGGCTGGTCCTCTAGCGAGTTCAACGAGTGCAGGGACACCTTCTCTTTGTGGTACCAAAATCTACTTCCTTGGGCTCATCGATTTTCTAATCAACTTTGGGCTGCGCAAGCAGGCCGAACATCTACTGCGGGCCGCCCAGGGGCATGGGCAGTCAACGTCCTGTGTCCATCCCTCAGATTATGCTGCGCGGCAGGCGAGGTTCCTGCGGAGTAGTGTTTTCTCAAAGCCGGACGTGGACAAGGGAACAGCCGGCTGCTTGAGAGTCCTGGTCGTATCGGCCCGAAAGCTTCGAAATGCCGATCTCATGAGCAAGTCGGACCCATATGTCTCGGTCCATCTGGGTCTACAGAAAGCTGCCACACCAACCATACAAGATGATCTGAACCCAACCTGGAATTGCTCCTTGACGTTGCCAGTGCCGCTTGATCCGGATCCCAGAGGTTTAGCACCGCTTTTATTCAGCAGGAGCCTTACCGATCTCACTCGCTCTAACCATGCGTCTGAGCATCTGAGGAACACCAGCCATCTGTCGGATGAGATTCTTTTCAAGGTGCTCGTCTCAATTCCTGGGACTGACAACACCTAAAGATTGACCTAACGGCAGTTATTTGATCAATGCATCCTTGCATTCGGACAGAATCGTTTGCTTCCTTGCTTGGGGTTAATGGGTCTTTGTGGCGGCAGCAACCGCAGAAGGGGCTGCAGCATCAGCAACAGCAGCACCAATGGAAGCAGCAACAACAACGCCGCCGCCGCTACCAGCCGCCGCCACCACCAGCACCAGCACCACCACCACCACCAACAACAACAACAGAGAGCGGCAGTGTAAACGAAGCGAGCCAAGTAGACACACCGTCACCGGCATCAATATCATCAGCATACCCGTGACCGTTGCACTAGTTGAGTGAATCAGAGATTCTACGGTCTGTTCGGCTCCAAGACGGCTTGAATCGCACTGTGTGCCAGCTCCTAGTTCCTCAGATACACATGCTTGAACACCCAACATGCAAGAGCTCCGGTGGAGTGGAGTGCAAGCAACACAGTAGTCAAAGCGTCTTCGAGGTTGAAGGCTTCCAGCAATGTCGGTGTTCGAGTCGGTTCGAGTCGTCGCAGAAACAACGACATGGTATAATTGCATGCACACATGCTCCTACCATTTGTTAATCATGCCTGCCTCGTTGGTCGCACCATGCCTTCCAACATGCCAGGTCTGGGATGAGGATCACATACGTGCGGCGCAGGGCAGCGACGACAGTTTGGGTTTGCTCCGGTGCCCCTTCCATCGCTTGTTGAGGGAAGGCGGCGAAGTTGACATAAAGCAGAAGCTGGAGGACAGCACGTTGGTTTTGAATGTGAGTTCATGGTATCGGTACACCTCCCTCCTCGCGAATTGCCCAGCGCAAGGAGACTACAACTGGCGAGCTGCACGTGCAGATCCGCTTTGAGCCACACCGATCGAGCGGCGGCTACCCATGCAGCAGCCCATCCGAAGCCGTTGTGTGGGAGTTCTCAGCACCAACCTGAGATGATACTTCTTTCAACATGCTGCATAACATGCTTGTTCCCGACCATCGTAAATGAATCATCTGAGGTGAGCCATGGGTTCCAGAGCTTTGATGATCCGTGTCAGCGACACGTGGAAACCATGTACCAAGGTTTTCTACGAGGACATACAGTGTGCGAGCGTATCTCGAGTTCTCAAAATTGAACTTGATTGCTCACAGGAGGGGCCAGGAACGTCTCTGTCACATCCGGCGGAGTTGAAGTCTTCCTCGATTTCGCAGAGATGAAACAAGTTTCTCGAGGGGGCCGCACGAGGCAAATTCGACGGCGGGCTGGCTGACTTTCGCGACGAACGTCACGAGATTGTACATAGTAGGGCATGGTGCGAGGCGAAGCATCGCTTGATGCACTAGGGCCTTTTGCAAAAGCAAAGGCAGCCTCAGTCGCAAAGTCAAATGTTTGATGCCTGGAAGGTGCAGGGTGAACCTTGGCATTTTGCTGTCACGCAGCCCAGAGATGCCACGGTCATTAAAATAATCTGTTATGTAGCTGGCTTAGCCTCATGAGGAGTTCACTGGCGATTCCTGCGATGAGTTTAGTCCACTCAAAGAGCCATGGGACACAACAAGCTGGAGGGCACCCACAGTGGCCAGCCGCGGCATTTGCAGTAATGTGATGTTGGAGCGATGGTTGCTGCAAAGTTGTCTCGGCATCCTCACCGTGGCCAGACTGGATGTTTGCTCAGTCCCAGCCGATGCGAGCGCCAGTGCCTCAGAGACTGATGTTTTATTGGCAGGATGTGAGGAACCAACCGGCGATTTGTCAAGCAGCGTCAAAACTTCGATGCGCCCGGCATATGACGAACATGTCTCGAGGCCAGTCTTGCCCATACGGACAAGCCAGCGCCCGGGAACCTCTAAAAACGCTAAATAGAAAAACATTGTAGAAAGTAGAAGTCGTCGATGCCGGTGCAAAGTCTAAATTGATCCTTGTGATGCTCTGACCATAGGAGAACCACACAGAACCCACCGAATGGTGAGCTGCTGTCGAACCGTCGTATTTGTGCTTGTGCAGTAGGAGGCATCCGCCAGCCGTGCCTCAAGGACAGAGCCTGTGTTCAACTACTTCACCTTTCATGGTGTTCTTGTTGCTGGAAATCCCCGTTGGAGACGTTTTCAATTAGCACTCGAACGATGGTAGTTGGACTTACCGCACGGGTTTGCAAGGCGCTCTGGCAGGGTGGCACTATGCACCACTGTGCAGACTTGCCGTTCTGTCGGCAGCAAAGAACCAGGGCCAGGGATCTGCCGGTTCGGTGTGCAGGGAAGGGAAAGGCTCTCTGTCCCGAAAACCCCCGAAGACCCGTGGACCCGATGAGCGAGTTTATCGGAAGTAAAGTACCAGATGGGGGCCCAGCACATCTCCCAGAGGCAATGACTCATGGCGGTGCATGCATGCATGTCATTTGGAAATTTCGATGTCCTGTTTCGAAGAGCCCAAGCTTCATTATCTTTTCATCCTTGTGGCTTTCGGGCCGAATGTATGAGTGGAGCCACTTCTTCTGAATCTCCGTCCAGATCGCTTGCCTGGTAGGTCCTCACGAGCAAGGAGGTGGACCAGCTGGACCTTCTGTCTTGGCAATCCCCGCGGCTGCTACCGGCAACCCCTGCCCGCAAGAAGCTGGCTAGCAAGCTCTTGCCTGCAACGAAGGCACGTCGGCCAAAATTGAAGGTCAGTTTGTCCCTCGTCGTGTGGCTTGTCAGAACCCTCATTCCTGTGCTGGCTCAGGCGATGTTGCAGACAACCGAGACTGAGTTGCGGAAACACCTGGCAGGGGCGGAGCGAACAGACGGAAGGAAATTCTCTGGGACGGCTGTGCAGGGCTGGAACAGCTCTCACCCGGGGACTGAGAGCTTCAGAGCCGGCTACACACAGATCCTCTCGGGTCTAGAGCTGTTTCTGCCTGCTGCAGCTGAAGTAGCAGCCATCATTGCCAACCAAACTGGGCTATCTTCTGTGTCCGTCAGCTCATACGCCCATCCCACTCAGGGAGAGCCCATATGCGTGCATGCAGATGCTCATGACACTTTCATTTTGCAGATCCAGGGATGCCGCGTTTGGAAACACTGGCACGGGCCATCCCTCAAGGAGAGCCATTTGGTGAAGCATCCAGGAGAGCTGGGGCTTGGAAACTCCAGCTCCCGCTGCCTCAATGACAGCTTGGGCTTTTCTTCCAGAAGCCTGGAGCTCCACACGGGATCCTTGCTGCGATTGCCCCGGGGCATCGCCCACCAAACCAGCAGTTGTGGTCAGGGCCCTTCCAGCCACTGGGCTATTATGGCCGCTCGCATCAGTGCAGCTAGCGTGTTACTGGATGTGGCGGCTTCTAGCCGAAAACTTGACGTCCATGGCGAGCTACTATCAGTGCTAGGAAAGGACACTGACCTCACTAAGAGGCTATGGCAGGGTCTGCAGCTCACAAGCTATGACGGAATAGATTTGACGAAGCACGTGGAGATCCTGGCAGATGGGCTGCTCGCCCTTCTGGACGAAGCCATACCAGGCCCTTGGCCCGCGCTGGACCGACGGTCTGTGTCTACCCGGCTGAAGGAAGTCTTGCAGATTCGTGCCTGCATGAAGGCTCTGCGGTGGTTAACCTAGGACTTGGGACTGTTTTTGTAACATGTTTCACTGCAAGCGTCCACTCCTGCTCCTGCTAGCTGAGGCACGGTCCTCAAGGCAGTGCGCTGGCTCCGCCCGGTGATTGCCGGACGGGTCCTCTCGGCCGCTTTCTTGTCAAAACTAGACGGATTGAGCTCTGAAAGCCGGAAGCTCGGAAGCTCTTCGAGCTCTCCGCTTTCCTCCCCGCATCTCGCAACTGAACGCCCCGGTGTAACCAGTCCAGGATGAACAGGGACTCCTGTGCCTGCATGCAACAGGCCAGGGTCTGCAAGGACTCGTTGCAGTCAGCAGAGCATCGAAAACATGTTCCTGCTGTTCCTGCTATGCTGTACGTTGCATGGCTCGCCAAAGCTGCCACAAGTAGGCTCTTAGAGTCATAGCATCGGCTCGAGCGGGGGTCTGAGTTGCCGGGGCCGCATTATTGAGGAATGTTGGCCTGTCGCCAATCGAGACCTTGCAGTGCGGCACTTCCGTAAGGGCAGCATGCCCGTACGGCCTTCAGCCAGAGCACATGAGCAGCTCTGGGTCCCCCAAAACTGCCGCCGGCTGATCAGACCACACTCAGCTCCCGTGCTCACCAGCAAAACTGTCACATATGAGCCGCTTGATGGTCTTGCCACCAAGAACTTGCAGAAGACCACCCGGAAGCTCAACCTCGAAGTGCAAAGATCGTCGAGCACTTCCGCCCTAGGCTCAGAAGCCCTGGACAAGACCAAGTTCCCCAGCAGAGGTGGCCATTTACGCGTTTCTATGCAACCTACGGCCGCGGCAGGCAGGACGATGCATCCCGCTATGCTCGGCAAGACACGAGTGGAGTCAGCCAAGTCTGTTTGCAGAAGGCAATCGGCCGAGCGCTTTGACACAAAATGGCGCGCATGTGGAACCTATGCTCACCTTGCCCACAGCTCGTCAACTCTCACAGAGAAGGAGCGTGTGGAACACATTCGCAGCATGCTCAAGCAGAAATACAACAGGCAAGGCAGTTCGAATCTGTATCATGCCTACCGCAAAATGGCGCACTACTCAAATGCGGTGGATCCACACTCCAAGTGTGTTTATCCTCAACACTTCGCCCACTTCCTGGGAGATCTTGGTGTGTCTGTCACAGCGAAAGAAGCTTGTCAGCTCCTGTCTAAAGATCCAACGGCCGCCAACTTGGCAAAGCCATTTGGTGCTGCAACGCTTTATGCCATGGTTGCTAAAGACCAGGCGAAGGAGGTCTCACTGTAGCTCGCACAGAATTGGACATCCGTCTTGAATCTGACTAATCCTGACAGGTTCCGCGGAACAAGCAACGAAGAGACTTGTGGGTTTGCCACGTTCCCTCAAAGCAGCATTTGTTGTGCTGGCACCAAGATAGACTTTGTTTTGTACCTTCTTGCCGGTACACGATATTCTTCAACAAGTTCAAGAACAGGGATGCGCTTCGGTTTATGCTGACTAAGGGCCTTTCTTGGGCTTGAATTTCCAATCAAACCTGGATTTATTCGTATTATTTCGTATTCAGATCATGGAATCAGATTGAATATTGATTCTTGATGACTTGATATAGGAAATATATGACTAAAGGATGATAGGAAGGCCAGGCGGGAGGCAAAAGGATGATAGAAATTCGGAGAGAGCCGTTTATATGATATTTATTTAAAAAGAGATATTCTCATTAATATTTATCTTGATGATATTATTCGATTTAGTTTCTATGAAAAAAAGATATTTAGATAATTTGCTTTAGAAGGTTGATTCATGATTGACTTTCTATGATTTAGATAGAATATCGGACGAATCGAGTCGGAGGTTTGTGGGATTATGAATTGATTGTAACTTGTGGTGTCTTGTGGCATTTGGATATGGTTTTAGATTATTGTATTCTTTAAGTTAAGAATTAGATGATTGAATTGGTTCTTTGTTTACGATTATACCAGAATATATTGAAACATTATAGAAGTAATTTGATTATTGATATATATATATATGGAATTAAATTATTGATGGTAAAAGATTATTTGATTTTAATTTGTTTTTTCAAATTAAAATGGAAGAAGAAAGGTATTTATGAATATTAAATTAGTCTTTTATATTAAATAAATTTCTATTAGAATTTCATATTAGAAAGAGATAAAATTTTGATTATTAAAATTTTTATGATAGAGCAGAATTTAAATATAAATCATATAATATATATATATATTGGTAGAAAAAATAGATGAAAATA